AGAGCGGGGCGGGCCCGTCGCGCGGGGGCGGGGCAGGCAGGCCAGGCCTGGCCAGTAGGCAGAGCGGGGGCAAGCGGCGAGCGGATAGCGCGAGATGCTGGGAGATCGCGAAGTCGTCGACGTTGCGTCGATGCGACGTCGCTGCTGCGTCGGCCTTGTCCGGCCCGCAGCGGAGGTCAGGCGGTGGTGTGACCGCCGTGCCCGCGGTCTAGCTAGTCGTCGTCGACGAGGCCCGAGGGAGCCGCCGCCGCCAAGCGGCCAAGCAAGGCAGGGAGAGCGAGGTGCCTGGCTGCCCGGCTTTCCCTAGCCTTGCCAGATTCCAAAGGCCGCTTTGGGCACTGGAGCAGTGTCGCTGCCTCGGCACGACGTCTGTCTGTCTGTCTGTCTGTCTGTCTGTGTGGCCGCCTGCTTCGTCTGGCCCATGCCAGCCGCGCCTGCCGGCCTGGCCAGGCGGCTCGCTCAAGTTTCTGCGCCCTCTCTTGCGCCAGCCTCTGCCGTGGTGCCTCGTCAGGTCGCCACCGCCTGGCTCATTTTTTTCCCAGAGTTGCTGGCCTCTGCTTGCTGTGCTTGGGTTTGCGCGCGCGCGCGCCCCCCGCCATCTCCTCTGGCTGGCTGGCTGGCTGGCTCTGGCTGGCTCTGGCTCTGGCTCTGCCTCTGCCTCTGCCCAACCCTGCTGCCCGGCGCTGCGCCCACCTTGCCGGAGCACCACCATCGTCTTTTTTTCACGCCCCGTATACCGTCTCCATCATCTTCTGACTCCTGCCCATACGCCTCCGACATCGCTAGGCGACGCACCCAGTCAGACACATATCCAACGACAGACGCCTCTGACGACGACCAAGCTACCAACGGCTCCATTCAGCCACCAGCCCACGTCGCCCCACCAGCCAGAGACACACGAGAAGAAGAAAAGACTTCCTGCCCACCCCAACCACCCTCGATCTCAACGCCACTCCCGCCTCGATCGAACACCGATATCGACATCGCTCTGGCAGCCTAAGCCAACGCCCAGACGATTTTCAAAGGCCACCACTCTGGCCGTCTCGATTGCGGACCTTTCCCGCTGCTCTCGAGTGATCATCGTCATCGCTCAGAGCACCACACTCACCGACACCCAATTCGCATAGGGCAGCCAAACCGCTTCACCTTCACCTCCCTTCCCATCTTTGCCCGCCGTCCTTCCATCGACGGCGCAGCATAGGACACCCGCGAGGCCTTCCGTCACCTTCTTTCGAGGAGGACAGAGGCTACCGTCGCGACCCGTCCGCCCGCATCCTCTCCCCACCCCTCAGGGACCCGGTCAATCCACTTCGGTCGATTGCCAACCCCTAAGGCGGACGGGGAACCGACAGTCGTCCCAACTGTAACCTCCGAAACCCCCTTTCTTCAGGCAGCCGACATCGCTCTGCCATCCCCTTCCTCTGTCCTACATCCCGCCGCCCCGGGTCGACACCAGCTTTCGCCACTCCGAACACTGTCGACACCACACCACCTCTACTCCTCCTCACCGCACCCCGCCCTTACCTCCTCCTCCTCGGTTCCGTGACACCGTCGTCGGACCCAGCAAACCTCTCAACCGCCTCTCTCGACACTCCCGCCCTCATACCCACCACCCTCCTCGCTCAGTAGTAGTCGAGGCTCCCTCAACCGAGCCCTCAGACTCGGAAGACATCTCACGGGCGCAAGCTCCGACGATCCTTCCCTCGCACAAATCGGCGTCCGATTCGCTACGCCAGTGCTCCTACGACAAATCCCTCAACCTCATCGCACCCATCCGCTTCAACGTCTTGAGCGCCAGACCGGCTCTCGTGCTCTAGTACACCTCTTCGAGCCCTTCGCCTAGATCAACCCTCAACACCCGTCTAAGCGCGCGCGTTCCAACTACGCCCGACCAACCCTCTCCGTGGACCCACTTCCACGCCACCAAAATACACCGGACGACCCTTCTCGTCCCTTTCGATCTCCCAATGTCGGAACCCTTTGACTTTGACGCCTTCATCGCGTCGCCTTCTCAGGCCGAGAGCACCCTCCAGACCCAGGACCGCAACGCGTCCAACAAGGCTGCGCTCGCTGACGGCGCCGGCGGCGACATGCTGTCCTCTTTCAGCGACCATGGCTTTGATGGCGGCGCCGGCATCGGCAACGCGCCTTCCTACGGCCAGGGCCTTGACGCCTCGACCGCCGCCGGCTCCAACTACCTGTCACAGGCCGACGCCATGATGTACGGCACCTTTGGCGATCCCATGGGCGGCGACATTATGCACAGCTGGGACTTCAACACAGTCGGTGGTGTCGACGGCGGCAGCAACGCGACTGCCGACGCCAACGGTCTCGGCAACAACGGCGGGGTCGACTTCGACTCCTCTCACGGTGTGGGAAACACCCACGCTGGCGCCAACGCCATTGCCGGCGTTTCTCACGGTGGAGGTGCTGGTGGCCATACCCATGCGTCCGCGCCGATGGCAGCCGGCCTCGACGCCGCCAACATCGCGACCGCCGACATCGACCCGGCGCTCGAGATCCGCAAGCAGGCGGCTGCCAACTACCGCAACAGCATCGCCGCACACCACTCCCAGCTCCTCACGTCCGGTAGCGGCGCTCGACCGGCGATGCCCGGTGTTGCCCCGAACGGGCCGCTGCGCAGCGCTCTCACGGTGCCGCGCGTCACCAAGGTCAAGCGGCCGGGCCTCCAAGGCCCTCACGCCAAGGCCGTCACGGTCGCCGCCGGCGCCCGGCCCGGGCTCACATTGCAGGAGCGACGCCGCATGTCGCGTCAGATGGCCAAGCAGGCTGTCCAAGCTGCGCCCCACCACAGCGACGCCGGCGCCGCTTCCAACGTCAATGTCTCGGGGCGGGGGGCCAAGCGTGGCATCGACACCGACAGTGGGCTCCCCAGCGGTGGCGCCAGCGCGACTTCGATGCAGGCCTATCCCTCCGTTGGTTCCGACGGAAGGTCCATGTCGCACCCGCACGACGCAGCCCGCCTGCGCGAGCCCTCGTATGCGGCGCCTCCGTCGACGGGTCCTCCATCGGCCGTCTTCACGGGCCAGTACTCGACCAACACCGGCGACGAGGTGCCCACGGCCAACCGCTACTCGTCTTCGGGCATCGACGTCCTTGGCATCCTCTCGCGAGCCATTGCCCGGCCCAACCCGCGCATCTCGCTCGGGCCCGTGGATCTGTCATGCTCCTTCACCATCTCGGACGCCCACCACCCTGAGCAGCCCCTGCTCTACGCCAGCGAGACCTTCTGCCACCTGACGGGCTACTCGCTCAACGAGATCGTCGGCCGCAACTGCCGCTTCCTCCAGGCACCCAACGTGCCGATCGAGCGAGGCTCGGAGCGGCAGCACACCGACAACCGCGCCGTCGAGCACCTCAAGCGCCACCTCAGCACGCTGCGCGAGTGCCAGGCCAGCCTGATCAACTACCGCAAGGACGGCACGCCGTTCATCAACCTCGTCACCGTGGTGCCCGTGTCGTGGTCGAATCCGAACCAGGTCGACTTTTTCGTCGGCTTCCAGGTCGACCTCGTCGAGCAGCCGGGCGCGATCCTCGAGCGCAAGGACGACGGCTCCTACGTCGTCAACTACCGCTCGATCAACGACCCACCGCCCTCGGCCGCCGCCGCGGCGGGAGCCGAGGACCCCGCCAAAGATGCCAACGCCGAGGCCAACAAGCAGGCCGCGATCGCCAAGGACATCCTCGACCTGATCCACGGCAACGGGCCCTGCGACGCCAAGCACTGGTCGCGCGTGCTTCTCGAAAACTCGCACGACCTCATCTACGTGTTGTCGCTCAAGGGCACGTTCCTCTACGTTTCGCCGTCGGTCGAGCGCATCCTGGGCTTCACGGCCGACGAGGTGATTGGCAAGTCGATCAGCGAGTTCTGCCACCCGAGCGATGTGGTGCCCGTCTTCCGCGAGCTCAAGGACTCGACGAGCAACGCCAGCATCGCTGCGGCGGCGTCGCGCTCGCTCAAGCACGACGGCGTGGCCAACCCGATGACCAAGGGCGGCGGCGGTCAGGCGGGCCCCAAGGTCAACCTGATCCTGCGCATGCGCCACAAGCACGACGGCCACCGCTGGATCGAGAGCACCGGCAAGCTGCACCTCGAGCAGGGCAAGGGCCGCAAGGTCGTCATCTCGAGCGGACGTCCGCGCCCCGTCTACAACCTGGCGTGGGAGCACGTCCGCAGCAGTGCCGAGCTCGGCGAGCCGTCGTTCTGGACCAAGCTCTCGATTGACGGCATCGTCCTCAGCACGACGGGCGCGGTCCGCGACGTGCTCGGGTGCGAGGACAAGGCGCTGTTTGGGCGCCACGTCCTCGAGGTGACCAACTACGAGGCGGCGCCGTCGATCCTGCAGGCGCTCCGCAGCAGCCAGTCGATGACCGTCTCGCACCTCATGGGCGACGGCAAGGCCAACTCGACGCCTGTCTTCACGTCGTTCTTCCCGTCGTCGGCGGCCGCGGGCCCGGCCCTGCCCACGGTGTTCGTCCACGTGCAGCGCGCCGCGCCCGAGAGCTCTTGGATGATCCCCAACGTGGCGTACCCCAAGGGCGGTCCGCAGCCGGCGTTTGACGCGACGGGCACCAGCGTCGACTCGCTGACGTCGGTGTTTGCCGAGCTGTCGACGTACCGCAGCAGCTCGTGGGTGTTTGAGATGCACCAGCTCAAGAACGTCAACCGGCGGCTCAAGGACGAGATCCGCGCGCTGCGGCGGCAGAGCCGCGACGCGGGCGCCCTGGGCCAGCAGACGCCCCTGGTCAACGTGGTGGGCCAGAGCCCGTCGTCGTCGTCGCTGATGCGCCAGAACAGCAACTTTGCCGAGATGATGCAGCACATGGCGCCGCCGCCCGGCGTCGTCGCGGCGCCCGACGCCATGTCGGCGATGGGCTCTGGCACGGGTGCGCCGATGACGGTGGGGCAGAGCCCGATCAAGCGGCGCCCCGACCACGGCTACGGCCACCGGCAGCACCTGCGCCCGACGCCCCACGTGCTGCCGTACATGCACGGGTCGAGCAGCACGGAGCGGAGCAGCAGCTCTGGGTCCGACTTCAGCCCGTTCCCCGAGCGCATCGTGCAGCGGCGCTCCGGGTCCGGGTCCGGCGACGGGTCAGACGAGACGGGCATCACGACGGCCAACAGCTCTGGCAACACGTCGGAAAAGGATCCCGGCAGCAGCGGCAGCGGCAGCGGCAGTGGCAGCGAGACGCGACGCGGATCGACCGAGGAGCAGTAGCTCGCCACGAGGCTGGGCCCCCCCTCGCCGAGGCGGACGTACTGCCGCCCGCCGTCGCCCGCCTACGATGGCACGCGTCTTGCTCGGCCTGATCCACGGCCTCGTCTTGTCGCCGTCGTCGAGGGTCTCGTTGGTCCCCAGTCTCCCTTTTCTTCTACTTCTACATGGTCCCTTCTAGTTTGTTATCTTGGGTTTATATTTGTTTGTTTCTCTGGTCTCGCAGTACGTAGTGTCTCTTTTGTCGTGTTTGTCATACTCGCTCTTTGCTTGCTTGTCCCTCTGCCTCTGTGTGTCCGTGTCTGGTCTCTCGGCCTCTCTGTCTAGCAGCCGGTTGAGCTTCGAGGTACAGATGCTTATGTCTATGCTGAACTCGTCAGAGAGCAACGAAGGACGTTGTGTGGGGGCGTCGGATGAGGGCGAGGGCAGCACGTTGGGAGCCGATCATCGAGCGCCCTCTGGCGGATTGTGTGATGCGGTGCAACGGCGGGCCAAGACTGAAGCTAAGGAGAGGGGCTGGGCTGCGGCTGTGGCTGTGGCTGTGGCTGAGACCGAGGGCTGTGTATGTCGAGGCGCGTGTGCGGCGGACCCGGCCTCGGCCTGGCCTGTAGGCAGTGCACGCCGCCCCCCATTGGGCTGGTCAGGCTGGTGAGGCTGGTTGGCTGGCAGCTCGATCCAGCGACGACAGCCATCGACGGCAGCCATCCGCGACAACGACGAGGCGGAACCTGCTGTCCCCTTCCCCCCGCCCCCCCTGACCTGCCCTACCTTGGGGTTACATAGGTCAATGGGCGGTGGACCCTTTGCTGCAGGGTGACGGCGCACGCGGCTGCCCAAAGGGCTGCAGCAGCAGCAGCAGCTGCTGCTTGGCGGTGCCTACAGGCCTGCCTTCCCGAACAATTAATTGAAAACAACAATTGGCCGCCTTGACCTTGGGCTCCGGGCCCGCCACCAACCCGACGACGACCAACACCCTCACCACCACCTCCTCCCCTTCCATCCCGACATCTCATATTCCTCCCTCCTCCTTGGTGCGCCGGAGCTCCCCCGCCTAGCGCGCAGCAGAACGGCCACGGCCAACTCTATCCACCAGCTACGGCTGCCCAAGCTTCTCTCGCTTGCCCACACCGGCCTCGCACTCTCGCCTCGCCTCGCCTCGACCACGGCCGCCAACAGCCATGGCGGGCAACCCACCGGCACTGCCCCCTCTGCCTCCAGGCTTTGGCAACGACTCGAGCTACCCTCCGCACCCTTCCTCGCGCGCAGCTTCTTCCACCGCCCACCACCGCACCGCTATCGTCTCCTCGCCTCCCCCTATCCCTCCCCTGCCCCCCGGCGCACTCGAGCGAGAACAGCAGTACCGCGCTCAAAACCTTCGTTCGCCCCAGCCGGGCCCCCGTCCTCCTCCCCTGCCCGCCTCCCCATCCCCGAACCATCCTCATTACAGAGCCTCGTCCGGCTTCGTTCCCGGACAGGTCATCCGCCATCCTTCCGGTCCCCCTCTCCATCCCTCGGGCCCACATCACTATCCACGATCGCCCTCCCCATCCCCCAACCCCGCACATCGGCCTTTCCCGCAGGCTCAGCCTTACAGCCCCGACTCGGACCCCTACCAGTCCCACTACCCGCAGCGCAACACCACGCTATCACCGCCGCCACCACCACCCGAGCGTCCACACTCGGCAAGCTCCTACCACTCTTCCGGCGGGCAGGGCGGAGGCGGCGCCTTCCTCGAGCCTCACTCACCAGGTAGCTACAACCAGCTCGACGGCGGCCCAAGGCCAGGCTCTTCGTTCCAGGACCACGCCATGCCAACCCTCTCCCAGTCAATGTCGAGCATGGCGTTCGGCCCGCCGCCTTCCTCGTCGCATCACCCAGGCCACAACCCCTATGCACGCAGGGCTTCAAGCAGCGAAGCCACCTCGTCCTACCATAGCCAACAGCAGCAGCACCGATCGGCGAGCCCGGCCAACGCGGGCGCCGCGCCTAGCCTCAACGCGCCGCTGCCGGACATGGATGCGCTGGAAAAGATGCGTGATCGCGCCTTTGCCAGCAGGGACGACCAGCAGCAGGTGGCATGGGCAAAGCAGCTGCTCAAGTTTGTCGAGCGCAAGTTTGCCGACGGCAGCAAGATCAGCGAGCCACGCCTGGTTAAGGCCACCGACGAGGCCATCAGCACCGTGAGTAGCATCCTCCGCCTCGGGGCACGAGGGCGCGCGCGCCAGGCAGCAAGAGCTGAAAGAGGTCCTTCTTCCCCCACCCGGGACGTCGCACGCTTCATCCGCAGATCAAGCGCCTCGCCTCGCTCGGCCGACCGAATCTCGAGGCCCTCTACCTCCGCGGCGACCTGCAGGCGTCTGGCGCGTTCCCCACCTACATCCGCAAGGACCTCAAGGAGGCCTTCAACGACTTTGAGCTCTCGGCGCGCCTGGGCTACGCCGCCAGCTGGTTCCGCATCGGGCGCGACTACGAGCTGCTCAACGACTTTTCGCGGGCACGCGACGCCTACAACCGCGGCGTCGTCGTCGGGGACGTCGGGTCGATGTACCGCCTCGGAATGGCCAACCTGCTGGGCCAGCTCGAGCTTCCCGTCAACCAGGCCAAGGCCGTCGGCCTGCTGCGCGATGCGGCTGACCGGGCCAACCTCGACGTGCCGCAGCCGGCCTACATCTACGGCATGCTGCTCGCCGGCGAGTTTAACCACGTCGACATCCCTCCTGGCCTGCTCAAGCCCACCCTGGCTCCCGAGGCGCGGAGGGGCGGCGGCGGCGGCGGCAATACCAAGGCGGCGCTCGAGAACGAGGCGCGGCGGCGCATCGAGCGCGCGGCCTACCTCAACTTTGCGCCGGCGCAGTACAAGTGTGGCTGGACCTACGAGTACGCCCAGCTGGACTGCGCCTTTGACCCGCTGCTGAGCGTGCAGTACTACAGCCTGGCGAGCCAGGGCGGCGAGGTCGAGGCCGACATGGCGCTGTCCAAGTGGTTCCTGTGCGGCGCCGAGGGCTGCTTTGACAAGAACGAGGGCCTGGCCTTCACCTTTGCCGACAAGGCGGCGCGCAAAGGGCTGGCGAGCGCCGAGTTTGCGCTGGGCTACTATTTCGAGGTCGGCGTGGGCACCGAGCGCAACCTCGAGACGGCCAAGCGGTGGTACCGCAAGGCGGCGGCGCAGGACAACGACGACGCCAAGCAGCGGCTCGAGGCGCTGCAGGCCGGCGGCGGCGTCGACCACTCGCTGTCGAGGGGCGACCACGAGGTCAATGTCGACGAAAAGGTGCAGCGGAAGCGCACGCTGGCCAAGATCCGGAGCGAAAAGGAGGGACGCGGGTCCAACCAGCCGCCGCAGCAGCAAACGCAGCAGCAGCAGCAGTCGCGGCAGCAGTCACAGCAGCAGGGGCAGTACCCTGGAGGCGGCGGAGGCAGGATGCAGGCCGGGGCCATGGAGCTCAACCGCAAAAAGACGATGCGGATGGTGCAGGACAGTGTCGCTGCGCACCAGCACCATGTCGACTACAGCAGCGGCGGGGTGGGAAGGAGATATGGAGGAGGAGGAGGCGGAGGAGGGAGGAGAGCGACGAATGGATCCGACATCCCGCCTGTCTCGCCGGTCTCGTCGGACCAGTACGGCCTGCCGCCCTCGATGTCAACGACGACGACTGCAGCACCGGCAGCGACGACGAGCAGTCAAGTGCGCCCTCCTCCGGCAACATCGGCACCCTCCTCGTCATCATCCTCCTCCTCCTCGTCGGCGGCGGCGGCGGCGGCGATGGGGAGACACGGACAGGGATACAGCCTCTCGGATACGTCGACTCCTCACCACTCTTCCGCTCCTGCTGGCACTGGTGCTGGTTCCACCTCTTCTGCCTCGAACAACTCCTCAAAGCCACCGCAACAGCAGCAGCAGCAGGGAGGAGGAGGAGGAGGAGGGGCCCAGGCCAAGGTCTATTCGACTTTCGAGGAAATGGGCTTCAAGCCCCAAAAGGCCAAACGCGAGGAATGCGTCATTGCCTAGCATCGGATCGCCAAAGGCCTCGACCCCCCTTTCTCTCGATAGAGAAGACGCCACGCCAGGCCAGGCCAGGCCATCACGAGAGGTGGCGGTGGAAGCAAGGTGGGGGCTGGTACAAGTACAGTGGAGGGAGGAGGACGATCTGCGTGTCTGTAGAACCTCGAAAGACCCTCGATAGATGGGATGGATGGACGGTACGTACTGGAATGGAATGGAATCGCACAGCAGGCCCGGCCCGGCCCGGCGTAGTGGGTCGCGAGCGACGCTGCGATGCATGGGCTGCCCCCTGCCTGCCCGTCCGTCATGCCTGCAGCCGTCGCTTCTTGCCGCCGCCACTACTGCCACCGGCCGGTTTCGGTTCCTTGGCCTTGCCCTTGTCCTTTGGCGGCTGCTGCGATGGGGCGGCAGGTTGCGCCTCGCCCCTGGGGGTCTCATCGCCATTGCCGTCGCCGTCACCGTCGACCTGCTTCCTCTTTCTTGTCGCGCTCGCTGCAGAGGTGGCGGCGGGGGCCGACAGTGGTGCCTCTGTCTGAGAGGCGGCGGCCAGGACGACGGGGGGGCCGACGACGCCGCGATACGACTTGCGGGTACGGGCGCGCACGATGAGCTGCCTCGGGTTCTCGCTGACGGCATCGCGGGCGGCCTGGGGCGACATGCCAAAGACGTTTGCGAGGTTGACGACGTCGTAGGGCCCGCGCAGCGCGAGAGCGCTCATGGCGCCGCTGGAAAAGATGACGCCCCGCCCGTTGGTGATGCGCAGCAGGTCGCGCGTGTTGGCGATGAGGTTGCGCCGCGACTTGAGATGCGCCGAGGCGTCGCCCCCTCCTCCTCCTCCTCCCGCTGCGCCGCTGCCCGGGGTGGAGGAGGAGAGGGCGGATGAGTAGCATACCTCGAACATGACTCCGTTCTCGAGTGCGGCGTTGATGGTGGTGCGGCGGAGGAGCCAGGGGAGGCGCGGGGTGGAAGCGAGGTCGAGCGAGATGATGTCGATGGCAAAGGGGCGGAGCTCCGAGAGGGTGAGGCAGGCGTGCTGGAAGGTGGCCTCGGACGTTGGCTGGACGGAGAGGAGGTCGTAGCTCATGAGCGCGGTCGCGTGCGATGTGAGCATGCCGTGGCCCGGTGGCTGGAGCGAGGCCTCGGTGAGGGTGAGGGTGAGGCGGGAGAGCTGGGTGAGGCTCTGCCCCGGTATCGCCGTTGCTGTCGTGGCGGCTCGTGCGGCGCTGGAGGAGGAAGAGGAGGAGGAGGAGGAGGAGGAGGAGGAGGAGGATGGCGGTGCAGAGGTGCGCGGATCGAGGGCGGGGAAGGCGACGGTGGGTTTCCCCTCTGGCGTGGGTGAAAAGGGGTTGGCGTGTACGGCGGGATCGAAGCGGGTGTGTACGTTGAGGTTGTAGGCGATGGTGCTGTATCCCAGGGATGCGAGGTCGTGGGTGAGCTCGGTGAGGGTGGCGACGGCGCCTGCGTCGCCGAGGCTCGATAGCGGGTCGGTGGTGCTGCCGCCGTTGCTGGTCGCCTTGCCCTTTGGATCGGACGGAGTGGCTTGCTGTGGTGCGCCTGCTGCTGGCTTTGGCTTTTTCTTGCCGGCCGCTGCCGATGACGAGGATGAGGACGAGGACGAGGCGTTGGCCGATGTGGATGGCCAGGGTACGTTGAGGTCGTAGAACATGGCCGGCCAGAGCGCGCAGCTGCCGGTGCGAGGAGGGGGAAAGGATTGACGAGGATGGAGTGGTGGGTGAGCGAGGACCAGAAGCCAGAAGCCAGATGGACGGATGCTGGGGGGTTAGCATCGGCCAGGAAGAAAAAAGGTCGCCAGGGCCCAAAGTGGAGCAGCGCGGGCCACGGCTCTTTCGGCCGACAGTTGACCGCCCGCTTTCCCAGAGGGGCAGCGCCGCCAACAGCAAGAGGGGCTTTTGTTGGCTGTCGGCTGCCGGCTGTTTGCCGCGGGCGGTGTTGCTCTCTCTTGGCGATGCAAAACACCAATTAAACGTACCGCGCTGCACCGCCCGCCCCGCCTGCCTGGCTCGCCACTATTCTATCTGTGCGTGCCGGGACCCCTCGTTCTGGTCCTTGCTTGAGGGAAACCTGCCTGCTACCCTCTTCTTTGCTCGACGCCATCAGCTCGGCAGCCGTTGTTGACCACCACCATCGCCACTCCCTCGCGGCCGGCTATAATCCTATAGATAGACACTCGACTCGACTCGACTCGACTCGACTCGACTCCACCCCACTCCACCCCACTCCACCCCACTCCACCCCACTCCAGGCAAACCTCGACGCCCCGCCCCTCGTCCTCGTCCTCGTCCCGACCCACCGCCATGCCCGTCCTCGAGCCTCGAGCCGCATCGTCGCGCATCGACCCGACAAAGGACCAGCGCACCACCATCATCGTCGCCTGCGTCTACTCGGTCGTCATCGTCATCCTCTGGAACATCCCCATCCTCAAGCTCATCCTCTACCCGTTCAAGCTCCTCGTACGTCTCGGACTCATCGCGCCCTCGCTGCTGATCCATGACATCTCACCTCTTTTCCTTGGCTTTCCTTCCGTACCCTTTCGCCCGCGTACTTCTGCCCCCCTTGCACAGACGGTCGGGTTCCACGAGTTCTCGCACGCCGCAGTCGGACTGTGCACGGGCGCCAAGATCGAATCAATCGTCCTCGAGCCAAACGAGGGCGGCGCGACGCGCATGCGCGGCGGCATCCCCTGGCTCACGCTCCCCGCCGGCTACCTCGGCAGCTCAATCATCGGCGCCGCCCTCATCGCCTGCGGGTTCGACGAGCGGGCCAGCAAGGTGGCCAGCATCGTCATTGGCGTCTTTTTCCTCTTTACCCTCTGGTGGGCCCGCCGCGACTGGCTGTACGTACCCTTATTCTCCCCCCTGCCCCCAGCACCGCCTTCGCTCGCTCGCCCCCTCCTTCTGATCCGACCTCGCGAGACCCGCCCGCTGACGTCCTTTCCCGCCCTCTCCCTCCTCCTGCCCCTCCTCCCCCCGCACAGCACCTGGGTTCTCCTGCTGGCCATGGTGGGCCTCTTTGTCCTCTTCTGGCTCGTCGCAGACTCGGTCGCGCTGCGCTACTTTGTCCTCTTCATCGGCGTCATGAACTGCCTCTACTCGGTGTGGGACATCTGCGACGACCTCATCTTCCGCAAGGTCAACGAGTCGGACGCCACGGCCTTCAGCAAGGTCGTCGGATGCTGCCCGCCCCAGGTCTGGGGCGTCATCTGGCTCTTTATCTCGCTCGGCTTCTTTGCCGCCGGTATCGTGTAAGTGGCGCGCGCGCGCGATATCTCTCTCCATGCCTTGGGAGCAGAGTAGGGGAGAGCAGAGCAGAGGACAGTGCGAGGGACCGACCATTGTGACGACTCACATCTCCTGACTTCCTCCTGCTTCCTGCCCTCGTCTGCGCCCCATGACGACAGCATCGGCATCGTCGCCTTCAAGACGCCCATTGCCGAACAGCAGGCCGACAACTTCCTCGACGTCAACCTCAAACGGAGCCTCGCCGGGCTGCTCTGACGAGACTTCCCTCCTGGCGCCCCGACTCGATGCCACGACCCCATCCTGCTCCGGACGCTATGCCGACAACGACGGACTCAACGGACATTTTAATGCCAAAGATAGATCACGACACCATGACGTTACGCGCCGTATACCCTGTCCTCACCGAGCGTACACGGGGCCTCACTCGCCCTTGCCGACGAGTTCGTCGACGTTGACGTCCTGCTTGGCGCCCGAGCCCGCCGCGTCCCCGCCATCCTTGGCCAGGCCCCGCAGATGCTCGACATCCGACCACCGCAGGACGCACCCTATCCCCCTTCCGTATCCGATATCCGCTTCGACTGCCTCGCCGTCCGGGCCACGCAGCACATCGCCCTCGAGCCTGGCTTGAAGCTTAGGGTCCTTCTTGAACCTGCGCTCCGTGACGGCGATTTCAGCCTCGAGCGTCCGGATCGTCGCTTGCAGGTCCTCGTCGCTGCCTCCGTCACGGCCGTCCCCTTGCTGCTGTCGATGCTGAGTGGCGGCGAGGAGGCGTCGAAGTGCGCGGTACTCTCGCATAAACTGCGCGCCCTGGACGTTGAGGTGCGAGGGCCGGATGGTCCACTGCTTCCTGCGCGCCGGGTCGCCCGCCGATGCGATCTTGGCGGGTTCCTGGTCCGAGGACGACGACGCTGACCGTCGATCCGGGATGGTGGGTACGAGGATCTCGGTGATGCTGCAGTTCCACAGCCTCGAAGGCTGCACGCCCTGCGCCAGCTCGACGTACTGGCCAGACACGAGGACTTCGCCGAGCAGCGCCGAGATGGCTGCACCGTGCGAGACGAGCAGGACCGTCTGCTCGTCGCCGTCATTGTCGTCGTCGGCGTTAGGGTTGCCCGGCTGGGCGTGCGGGTCGAGGGGCACGGTGACGAGGTCGTTCCAGAAGCTAGCGAGCCTCTGTGCGAGGTCCTGCATCTTTTCGATGCCGTCGATCGAGTCGCGCTTGTTGCGCGGGCCGTGGTAGACTTTGCCCTCGAGGACGCCAAAGCCGCGCTCCATGAGGCGAGGGTCCGTCTCGAGGGTCAGGCCGTGCTGGTGCGGCTGTCGAGATACGATGGCTGTGGCCGTGTCGGCGGCTCGCTTGAGCGGCGAGGAGATGGCACGGTGGATGCGGGTGGTGGCCAGGTGGGCGCCGGTGGTGGCGGCTTGCTGGTGTCCGAAGGGATTGAGAGGCGTGTCGAGCTGGCCCTGGATGACCTTTGCAACGTTTTCGTGCGTCTCGCCGTGTCGGACGATGAGGATGCGGAGTCGCCGCGGCGATGGCGTCGCAGCTCGAGGCGCTGCAGGAGCGGAGGCTGAAGAGGTCGTCATGATGGAACTCGGCACGATCAAACAAGCGAAGGGCAAGCAGGAGTGGACACCGGACGGATGAAAGGGTAATGTCGAAGCCACAGTAACGCGGAAGATGGAGAGGAGCGAATGGAAAAGCGAGGCGGGGAAGACGGGGCTCTCTACCACTCTAAGATTGTGATAAAGGTGGAAATGAGGACGATGGAGACAAAGAAGCCGAGACCGAAGGCGGATAGAGTGAGCATCGGGAGCGGTGTTGTGTGGGCAGGCGAGGGAGTGGTCTGTCTGGTGTGGGTGCGGTTGTCGTGAAGCCGGCCGAGGTGGTGTCGTGTGCAGCGACGCTTGCCTTGGCTGGGAGGATATGTCGAGACAGAGTCGGGCAGTGGCGACGTGGTGGTGGTGGGGTCGAGGCGGTGCAACGAGGGGCAGAGTGACCAGCCCGTCGTCATCCGGCGAAGTGGAGATGCGGGGGGTTCCCAACCCAGCGGGGGTCAGGCATGGCGGAACCGAAGGGCGCAGAGAAGAGGTTCGGCACCGAAAAAGCGCTGGGCCGTCCGAGCTTTCACAGTCAAGAATCTAGGGAAGCGCCCGCCCGCCCGCTCACGGCCGCAGGAAAAAGCTGGGGTGGAGCCAAGCTGGAGCGGACCCTGTCTGCATGCCATCATGCTGCGCCCGGCCTGCTGCTGTAGGCGCAGGCGCAAGCAGGCAGCTACCGGTACACAGGCGGCAGGCAAGCCAGCCAGCCAGCGCCTGGCTTCCACCACCACTGACCGCCGACGCCCGTCATGACGGCCGGGAGCCGCTGTGGGGCTCTGCATGGCCATGCAGCCCTCGGAAAGCGGGGCCGCTGCCCATCTCTAGCTGCAGCTTAGCCCCGACGAGTGGCGACCGCCTCTTTTCAGGCTGGGGGCTCCCGACTGCCTCAAGACAAAAGAGCAAGGTGGGGGCGGGGGTACCATGATGCTGGGCCACCCTGCCCGCCTGCCTGCCTGCCTCTTTCACGCCGATCCGCGCACCGTCCTCGCTGCTCCCGCGGCCAACGGGCCAGCGTGCCAGATCGAGTGCTGCCCGCAGCCTGCCTCGTCGGCTGCGGCGAGGGCAAGCGAAGCGGTGGGTGCTTTTCTACTCTTCTTTTTCATTTGTGCCTGCTCCCCAAGGGCGGCCGGCCGGAAAGAGAAGAGTTGGATGGACAGAGTACGTACGTAGGGGAAGGGCGGCGGACGTCCAAAGCGAGATGATGCGGACCCTGAGGTCGTTGACGTCGGCTCCCGAGCCAGTCCATCCTTCTCGTCTGGGCGGCGCTCGCTCCATGTCTCGAAGCCAGCCTTTGCTCCGCCATGGTCTCGGCCCGCCAACCAGCATCCGCATCCGTCGTATAAGAAGCCTGTCCCCGGCCTCGATTGGCGCGGGGCGCCGTCGGCCCTCATCCATCCCTCGCTCCTCGCAACTCGCCACTCTTTCTTTCACACCACCACCACCACCACCACCTCCCTCCATCGCCGACGCCGCCTTCTCCCAACCTCCTCGATCCAACGCCCCGTCCATCCACGACCTCCCTCCCTGCGCCCAAGCCGGCCGTCGTCCAGGATGTCGTCGTCCTCAGCAAAGTCGCTTCCCACGTTCCGCGAGCCCTTCACCATCGACGTCGTCAACCGCTTCCTCGACAAGATCCCCTTTTCCGCCCCCTTCCTCCTCCTCCTCCCCGCCCTCACCTACCTCTACGACCAGCACTCGCGCAACCTCCCGCTCACCCTGGTGCCTGCCTCGGACCAGCTGCTGCCGCGCCTCCGCTCCCTCCTCTTCACCGAGTACCGGTGGGTCGGCTACGCCTGGGTCTTTACCCTGGTCAAGACCGTCAACCGCACCCTCAACCGCTACGTCCGCAACCACGGCCAGTACCGCCGCGACCCCATCCGCTACGACCGCGATGTCATCGTCATCACCGGCGGCTCTGCGGGCATCGGCAAGGAGATTGTCCAGCTCCTCTCGCACCGCAAGGGCGCCACCGTCGCCGTGCTCGACATGGGCGCGCCCACCTACCTCGCCGCGCCGAAGGGAAAGCCAGAGATCCTTTACTTTAAGACGGACGTCTCCAACCCGGACCAGGTGGCCGAGGCGGCCCGCCAGATCCGCCAACGGACGGGCAAAAAGGTGGGCGCCCTGATCAACTGCGCCGGCATCGCCAGCGGCAACACGATCCTCGACGTCGACCTGGCCAGCGCGGCGCGCGTGTGGCGCGTCAACACGCTCTCCAACTGGGTCACCTGCCAGCAGTTCCTGCCGGACCTCATCGCCGCCAACCACGGCCACGTCGTCACGGTGTCGTCGTCGGGCGCCTACGCCTCGCTCCCCTCGATGAGCGAGTACGCGACGAGCAAGGCGGCCGCCCTCGCCTTCCACGAGGTCCTCTCGATCGAGCTCCGGACCCGCTACTCTGCCCCGCGCGTCCGCACCACCCTCGTCGCCCCCACCAAGGTCCGCACCGCCCTCGGAGACGGAATGGAGGACCACACCGACCCCTTTTTCACCCCCGTCCTCGAACCGGTCCAGGTGGCCCGCCAGATTGTCGGCGCCCTCGACTCGGGCCTCAGCCAGCACATCATGACCCCGCACTTTGCCAACCTCCTCCCCTGGCTCCGCGCCCTCCCCGACTGGTACCGCCGCTTCCTCGCCATCGTCGGCGACACCGACAACACCGTCACGCAAAAGTCCATGTCGCGCGCCCTCAGCAACGGCTACGGCGCCAACTGGGAGGGCGAGGACAAGGCCCTCTACGAGAAGCGGAGGCTCGCCCACCAGCAGCAGGCCACCAAGAAGTAGGCCCCTCGCGCCGGCGTGTGGACGGCGGGCCTGGGCCTTGCGACGTCTCTCTCTGGCCCGCCGTTTGCCCGCCTCGTCCGAGTCTCGGTGGCCTGGCGTGCCTGCTGCCTCCACATCGCATCGCATCCCGACCTACCTAGTCCAACCATGTATCTAGAGCCTCTCAAGCTCCTCGCCGCGTGCCGCGATAATAACCAGTCCATCATCATCATCATCATCATCCCCCTCCTTGCCCTCCTCGTCCAGCGGCGGACGTCGCTTGACATGGCATGACGGTGGGTCGTAGAAGGGAGCGAACGACAAGGAGCAGACGGGCGAGGGTCAGAGGAGGAGAGAAATTGGGGAGGCCGAGAAAGAGTCAGGGTGCCCCGTCGTGCCGGGTTAGGAAGGCGGCCCGATGTGGCCGCAGTCGCTCCCGCCCCCCTTACCGCTTCCCGCCCTTCTTCTTCTTTGCCGCCTTGGTCGCCGCCGTCGAAGAGGGGACGGCGGCGGTGGTGGCAAGGCGCGGAGCGGCCGAAGCGAACGCGGGCTCGGGCATGCTGCCGGGAATGGAAGGCTGCGACGACGTCGGCATCGCCATCGGCATCGGTAGCAACGACGACGACGACGACGACAGCGGCGACGATGACGGCGGCGCAGAGGTGTGTGTCTCTTTGCCGCCCTCGCAGAGGGGTCCCGAGGCGCCGCTGGAAGCTCGGCCGCTGCCGACACGGCCGCCGCTGCTCTCGGTCTCGCTGCTCGGCGCGTCCGACTTGATCGACGGCGCCGGGCTCTCGCCTCGCTTGAGCGCCGAGACCGGTTCCATGACGGCCGTCGCGCGCAGGCTCGAGCGTCCAGACGAGGCGGCTCCTGCGCCGCCCCGGAGGCTGTAGACGAGGGCTCGAGGCGAAGCAGTGGCATCCGAGAGGGGGCTCTGCGCGCGCGCCGTCAGAGCCGTCGAGCGTCGGCCGTGCAGCCCACCATCCCCACCGCCACCGCCGCCAGCTCCGCTGCCGCCTCCCAGCTCGTCATCATCGTCGAACGTTCCCACCATGAAGTCGTCCGCGCCACTTGCTCCGCCCTCCTTTGGCACCGCCTCAAACTTGGCGTACCGGGCCAGGTTGTCGTCCGCCCACCTGGATCCGACCACGTCGGGATCCTGGATCGAATCCCAGCCCATCACCTCGTCCTCGTCTGCTCCATCGACCGGACAGACTTCTGCGAAAGGCTCCTGGTCGTCGCGAGCTTTGTTGGGGCCGGCGCGCGAGCCGATGCTGGAGTCGGTCGGCGGCGTCTCTGCTGAGCTCGGCAGCGACCCGGGACCGGATCTGGAGCCGGGTACCAGGTGCGAGGCGGCCGAGTTGGCCGAACACGGCCCGTTGCGTCCATGCAGCTCGGCAAACATGTCGAGGTCGCCTTCCTCGTCGTCAAACGAGAGCGCCGTCGACTGCTCCGGACGCGCTCTGAACGCGTGCAAGCCGGCTGCCGTCGCCGCGGCCGTGGCCGCGGCGCCACTGGTCCGCCTTCGCGCCATTTCGACGCCGCGGCTCAGCTCCCGACTGGCGCGGTAGATGCCTCCGCCGATGCCGCCGGCAACGGTCCGGATCGGGATGCTCCTGCCACTCCAGCCCTGCGTCTTGCCGGGATGTCCCTGTGGGAAGCTCGGGATGAGTGCCGAGGGCGAGCGAGCGTTGAGGTTGAGGTTGTCGAGGTCGAGCTCGTCGTAGGCTCCCGCAAGTCGTGCAGTGTACATCGTGTCGGCGCCCGAGGCGCCCACGAGGGTCGCCATGTCCCGCACCTTCAGCGGTATCACGGCCATGCGGTGGAGCGCCAGGAGCAAGACGTCTTGGTCGCCCTTGGCGTGGTCGAAGACCTGGAAGAAGCACTGTCGAGATAGATAAAGCGTGGTGGGCAACACGCGCACTGACTGGCTGTAGGTCTCAATCTCTGCCTTGGCAATCGCGCCTCGGAGCGACGCCGCGGTGGGCCCGGAACGGCGTCGCTTGGGATCGCGCTGCGGGTGGCTGCTGAGCACGACTGGCAGATCGAGCCTGTTGGATGCCGCCGTGGGCGCCAAGTCGGTCCATGCCGCAACCCGCTGGCAGTCGCCCGAGAGGCGTGGGCCTGCACTGCCTGCCAAGACGCCGCTCGGGATCAAGCCGCCGCCCGCCTTGCGCATCATCTGAGTCAGGCCCGATGTGGCGCTGCCGCTGCCGGCGTTCGTGCCAGCGGCGATGATGTTGAGCCGTGTGGGCGAAGCGGCGCTGCCGACCTGCCTGCCCCCCATCGCTCTGGATGGCTCAGAGAGGTGCGCGTCGTCGCCAGACCCGCTGCCGCCCGTGCTCGAGGCGACCTCGAGCTTGTGCAGGCTGATGGTGGCTGTCCTCGGATCAAAGGCGAGGATGTTCATCGTGCACGAGGCTGTCGAGCTGCTCCGCGCGGCAAACAAGGTACCGTCAGCGCGCTGAGTGGTGCGCTGCATCAGAAAGGCCGGTACTGCCGACGAGAGCTGCGCTGCCGCCCCTTCGTCGCCAAGCGCATCAGGGGATCCCGACGAGGCGGTGTGCGACCGCGACTGGTGGTGCTGAAGAGAGCTGTCGTGCTTCGAAGCGTCCTGAGCATGCGAGGCGGGTCTCGCAGTGCGTGCGATGCTGCTGACGGTAACGCTGAGCGGGGCCATCGACGCCGCATTATGGACCTTGCCGACGACGTGGCTCCGGATCGACGCGGCTCCACCGTACGGGTTGATGGCGTAGGTGTGCACCGTGCCGGTTCGCGTGCCCACAGCGATCCACTGTGCATCGGGGCTCCACTGGGCTGAGACGACTTCGGCGCTCGTGACGCCTCGCAGAAGCTGCTCGCCAAGAAAAGAAGGGTGGCAGGACGAGGGAAAACATCGTCAGCGAATTGCTCGTCCACCTGTGGTGCGCCGCGGCGAGTGGATGTCTTACTGACCTTGTACCTGTGCAGGAGGGGCGACGGCGCCTCTCTTCCATCGCGAACAACGCCAAACGTGCCAACCACCTGCAGCTCAAAGATGTGGAAGGCGTGACCGAGCGAGTCGGCTGTGAAGCAAAGCTGGGCGTTTGGGCCGAAGGCGATGTGGGCGACTGGATACTTTGACGGCACAAACGTCGCGACGGTGCGCAGCGACGACCCGAGGTCGACGATCCGGACGACGGCCGAGGTGGTCTGCGGCGAATCGCGCTCCTTCTCTGGGTTCATCGAGGAGCGCTTGGCGGCAGGTCCATCGTAGACCGGCCCGAGCCTCGGCGAGCTCGAGACCGAAGACATCGATCTCTGCGAAAGGTGGCTCGGAATCGGCGCAGACCGGGAAAGGATGCCGACGGGACCGTGGCCCGGGCTCTGGCTGGGCGTCGGACCGTGGGTGGTCGCAGGCGGGCTGAGAGAGGCGTTGGCAAGGTAGGTGCTGCCCCACTCCCCCAGCGTCCGCATCCCGCTCATGACGTTGCCGCCGACGCGACGGGCGACGTCACCCATCTGCGCCGACGTCTCGAGCATCTGCTCCCTCATGTCACCCGGGCCAAGCACGACCTGGCCCTGGGTGCTCGATCGCGAACGGCCTGCATCGCGGTCAGAAGCGCTTCCGGCTGTGCCTCCGCCAGCTCCGCCCCTTCCGGCGATGGGAGCGACCGAGGCCGAGGCCTTCGCTGGCCGCCGCGCATCAGCTGCGACCTCGGAAAGGGCGCCCGCCTTGGTGGTTGCGTAGCTTAGAATGCGGCCCGAGAGGCTCATTGGCGGTGGGCCACCGTGCGCCGACAGCGCCACGTCTCCCACGACGTCGGCGGCATACTGCAGGTCGGCGGTGCGCAGCACGTGGATGGATCCCGGGCTGGAGAGAGCGATGCAGGTGAAGCGCTCGTTGCACTGCATGTCGCATCGGTCGACCTCAGCCGCCTGGAAGGTGCCGTCGGGCCCGATCAGCTTGGTGCGGTGCAGCACGGCGTGCGTCTCGAGCGAGTAGGCAATGACCTCGAGCGGCGCGTCGACCACGAGGAGCAGCTCGGCGTGTGCCGAAGAACGGCAGCAGGCGGTCAGCACGCGTTGAGGAGGGCGCGCGTAGAGGTAAGAGTGGTCTTGAAAGGCGGCAGAGGGGACAGTGAGGAGTTCCTTCATGTTGTCGCCATCGGCCTGAAGGATCTGGAGAGTGCCGGAGTCGTATGCGCTGATCAGCACGGGCACCAGGCGCGTGCCGATCCGCATCCGCTCCCAGCGGCTCCAGTCGACCGTGTCCGCCGGCTCTGCCCCGCCCTCTCGAGCGTTGTTGGCCTCGACCTCGGACACTGGATCGCCCGCGTTCTGGAAGGCATCATAGACGGGAGAGATGGCGCCGTCGCGTCTGGATGCATCGGCCGCAAGGTCCGGCGAAGAAAACGCCGCAGGCACACCCGTCGAGGCTGCTCGGAGCGAGTTCCATCCGCGATTGGCGTGAGCTGTGAGCGCACCGAGGGTGTTGGCGACGGCGTCGAGGCGGCTGCTGTTTCTGGCGACCGTCGGCTTGATGACGCGCTGCTGCCCGCAGCTGTGCGCTTCGTATCCGTGGTGGTGGCTGTGAGCGGGATACAAGCGAGTTTGTGTAGGCACCTGCTGGTCTACCGGCGTCGGCCGTGCTGCTGTGGCCGGCGCGAGGGGCGCGGATGGATGGAGACCTGGCTGCGCCCGTTGCTTGTGATTCGAGGTGGCGGCATCGTTGGCGTTGGCTGCGTTGGCTTTGCGGCTCATGGAGCGCGGCGGACAGGGATGCCGGCGTGCTCGACGAATGTGCGATGGTCCCGTCTGGCGACGAGGATGCCGAGCGAGAAGATGTAAGCGGGGAGTGTCGGAGAGGACTGTTCGAAGACGGAGGCGGAGATGGGTGGCGAGATAAAAGGCGAGAGCAGTAAGGTTGAGAAGGACGGAGTAGTGCCAGATAGCTCAAGGGTCGATCTGGGCCGTGGGTAGAGGACGGAATCTGATGCTCTCAGAAGCCGAAGCCGACAAGGCGCCAGGGGCGCTGAGCAATGAGACGTGGCGGTAGCTGACCTTGACCGCTCAGAGTCGTTCAAAGAGCGGCGAGGTGGCAGTGACGAGGCCCGGGAAAGTTGGAAAAGTGGAACGAGTTGCTGAGTGTATCCTTTGAAGAGTGTGCTGGTGGCAAGGCGTAGGTATGCTTGCGAGATAAGATACGGTGCGGTGAAATGGATGCTGAGGCGGATATCTCGAGTCGAGCGGGACACGGAGTAGGTTGTAGGATGGTCTGAATGAGATCAAGGAACGAGCTTGCGTCGGTGTACGACAGTGGAACGTGGTCGTGGCTGCTTGGAGAGGCGAGTCGAGTGCGTGGGCGAGGGAGATTGGGAGGGCTGCCGGGCTAGGATGTTGGATTAGGCTACAGGCGAAAGCGCGCCAGCTGAAAAGGACGAGCGTGTAGGATGCGAGAGATGGGACCAGGAACGGCGAGGGCGAGGGCGAAGGCGAGGGCGAGGGCGAAGGCGAGGGCGGGATTGGGGGTATCGAGTGGCCAGAGAGTGGGCCGGGCTTGGTGGCGCGTCGTATAGATATCGAGGAGAGCGGAGGGATGCTGGTGATAACGTGAAGAGAGTGCGTGTGAGCGTGGACGGCGATGCGGGCTGGATTGAGGTGGGCTGGATTGGATTGGTTGGCTGGCTGGCTGGCTTGGTTGGTGATGGTCGAGCGGATGGATGGGAGCAGAGCTAGAGCACGGGAGAGGACTAGACCAGGTCGAGACGAGGGCCAACGGCGGCAGGGATCCGCCGACAGGGGGAGGGGGAGCAGCAGCACCAGCAGCAGCACCGGGGGGCAGCACGGGGAGCAGGCAGGCAGGCAGGCCGGCCGGCGTAATCGCTCGCGAGTGGGGCAACCCAGGCAGGGTCCAACGCGCGCCGGCTGGCCAGGCCGGCCTGCCAGGCCAGGCCAGGCAGCATCCGGCGCGCCCGGAGCGAGGGCCCAAAGGGCATCGTATAACTTCGTATAATGTATGACTATACGAAGTTATTACGATCCCGACGAG